AGGACAGGAGCAGTATTTATACATTCCACACCGCTTATCTAATTAGCATAAACTAGATACATCAGTCAACCAATAAGGAATCTCCACACTTAATGGCTTACTTTTGTTACTTCTCAAACCACTCCCTCTGGCATTTTGCCAGGCACCATCCAGACTTGTTTACGAACTCTAACATTCCCCTAGCAAAATGCCAGGTGTTATTTTGACTTGTTTACAGACTCTAACAGTGACTAACTGGACAGTGTCTGTTGTAAAGTTCTTCTTCCTATATAGAAAACAGGAAGCCATGAAATGGCACTATTCTGCCCAAGGCAGCCTCACAGCATGGTGACCTACTACTTTTGTCTGCCTGTCTTCAAATGTTTCTGGGTTCAGCAGTTCAGCAAAACAGTATTAGCAACACGTCCTACCTCATCACTAAACTGCTCCACTCTAAATCTATTTAAAAATCATGTTAAGTAGCACAAGTCCATTGTTCTAGCCACAGTTCTGCAAAAGTGGGGAAAACTTCCATGGTGGTGGAATTCAGGCAAAACAGCAGTGAACATTTTTGGAGTAATGCATATTCTACCAAGAGAATCAGCCATGAAAAAGCAAACAAGGTAGATGGTGGGAGGACATCACACTGCAGATTAGGAGACAATTTTACAAGACTCAATGCCACAAGAAGCTGACTTTGTGTTTCTACTCTAAGTAACACAAACATTTAAAGGCAATCACAGTATACTTGTCCCAGGTCCCCCAAATAGATGCAGGTCAGTAATCCGAATGCTGCTCTTTCCTCCCACATTGGATTTTCACTGTGACACAGTGATGAAGGTCCAGCTTTGCCAGAAACAGGAAAAGCTCTCATTTTTTTTTTTTAAAGAGAGAGAAAGAGAGAGAATTTTTTTAATATTTATTTTTTAGTTTTCAGTGGACACAACATCTTTTTATTTTTCATGTGGTACTGTAAGGGTCCCGCGAAACGTCGGAGAAAGAGACCACCAAGTGACCACTCATGCAATTGGCAGAAGGGGATTTATTGAACCAGCATGCTGGGGCTCTGTGCCCACTCAAGAAGGGAAAGCAGCCCAGAGCCCCGAGCAGGGGCTGAGCACTGCTTAAGTACACTTTTTGGGGAGGGCGGAGGGCTTTGTATACATCAGAACAAATCATCATGAGGCACGGGAAAATTGAACAACTCCTAAACATGATTAGTTCATTCACTGGCGGGAACAGGTCAGGCTGGAGTGATAGGTCATTCCTAAGGAGAGTACACATTCAAACTGATTGGTTCAGGCCCTGCAAGGCCTGCGTGCAACCACACAGACCCCTTCAGTTATTAAACAACCAGACAATCAGGGGAAATGTTTACTGGGCGGTTCTAAGCATTGTCTTAACAGCTACAGAAATTTCAGGTTTTGCAGGTAGCATAGAAACCTAACAATACCTCCTTTACATTTTAACTCAGACCTTGCAGCTTAGAAACTTTTACAACACCCGGTCTTTTACCCTTTAACTTTTATGCTTTAACTTCAATTTCTTTTACCCTTACAGTACTGAGGATCAAACCCAGTGCCATGCGCATGCCAGGCGAGCACAATAACGCTTGAGCCACACCCCCAGCCCAAGGCTCTCATTTTGACACATCTATTTTCAAAGAGTGGTTCTTTCAACTACTGAAACAATCAAAATAAGCTGCTGAATGTAAATGTCCTGCAGACTGGTGGAAATTACTTTGTAACATCAGGAACCCTTGATTGCTGTGTGTATGACTGTGTTCTAACTTCTTACACTAAAAAAAAGAAAATCAGATCATAGTTCAGATTTCATTCAAATTTACTTGTGGAAAGAAGCCATGGAAGTCATCCTTAGATTCTAGTCCTTGTCTGAACTTAAGCATTGAAGGTTTGAAAAAGCACTACTATTGACTCTGAAATACTTATTATTCTTGTAAATATACCCTTACGTTTGTCATGTGTAAGAAATGCTTTCACTGAGTTTAGTGTGACAACTGACATCACTGGATTCACCACTACCTGTGCCTTTGTAGAGACAGGACAAATCAATATTAGCATTTATTTAGGTTTCCACTACCCCAGCAGGTAGTGGGAGCAGGAAGCGACCTAGAAAGGAAGATGATGACCAATACTTGGTGCAACTTTAAAGCAGATGTCTGATCAGTTGGTTTGCCAGAAGTACAAAATTATATAAGGTTCGGTATTTTCCTTATTATTTTCAGTTAACACGAAGTATGTGGGAACAAATACCTAATTGAATGAAGTTCAGTTACAAAAAGGTTCCCCACTTCAAGACAAAATCTGAGGTAGTAAATCTGGTTCTGAAGGACTTCAAGACCCCAGGCACAACATTAGGTGACCTAACCCCTAGGCCTCAAAGCTGCAAGACGCTCCCTCACCCAAACCCCATGTCAGAACCCCTCCAGCAGCACATAGCACCTCAGGTGTTGCACAATGTTACCACAAGATGTTCCATGTAGATAACCCTAACAGGCCCCCTACCACAAGATGTTCCTTTCAGACAGCCCTACCGGTTAAACTTGAGAACTGAGTTTAAAAACAGGAACTGAAAGGGCAGAATGCAAAATTATGGTTTTTCCGAGAACAAAAAGTCGAAAAAACAAGTTTACCCCCTAGGTGACCCAACTGCTGGATTCAGAGGACCCAATAGAAAGGCTGTTGCTGTGCTAAGCTAAGAACTAACCCACTTGTTCCCTATAAAAGATCTGTACCCCAAAGCCCGGTGTGCCAGTTCACCGAAGCTCCGGCTGAGGTTTCGCTGAGCACCCGCAGGCGCCTGTGTGAGAATAAACGCCTCCTGCTTTTTGCAGCCAGTGTCTCATGTGGTTCGTTCCGGGTTTGGGATCTGTGGATCTTTCAGTTCAAGCTCAAATCAAAACCCAAGAGGGCTCTACCACTGAGAAACGAATTGTCTCTACATTCAAAACTGCTCAACAGCATTGGTGGGGCTCCACAGATAAGCAGGCAGTGCTTGGACTCTGTATTCCCTATCCACAGTTCTGATTGGTAACAGAAGTGTTTAATTTAAGTAAAAATCTTTCTCCCTTTAAGGATCTAAAATGTAGAAGAAAAGCAAAAAATAAATTTTAGGATAATGTTTATTTATCCAAATAGGTCACACCATAGTCCCCATATGGCTTTCTGTTTCACAATCACCCCTTTACAAACAATGATGAATCTTTAATGAAAGTTAAATTTATAAACACTGTAAGACAGTTCAGAAAATATGTAGTTAAAAAAAAAATGAAGTCCACAAATTACAAATATTTTGCTAATATACAAACTGTCAATTTGGCAAATGCAAGCTACTTAACTGGTTTATTTAATGTGGGACTTTTTCTAAAAAAATTCAGTTGGGGTAAGTGATATATTTATGCCCTTTGACAAAGATGACAGGTATAGTATTGTTGTGACTAAAAAAGAAGTATATAATATTACTGCTTTGGCTCATTAAATTTCACAGAATACGTAAGATTCTGCCATGTCCAATGAGTTAGGCAAATGTAATAGAAGGTGCAGTGGGCTGAAACACGTTTTCATCATACAAATCTTCTGGTAGTTCTTCTTCATCTCCATCAGGAAAATAAGTAGGGAATGGTAAATTTTTACTGAAATCCTTATATGCAGGCAGATGAGAATCTTTGACCTGGGGGGAGAAGGCAAAAATCTTATTAATAAGTGCTACCAATTAAGCTACTTATTGGTAGGATAATGGTGCTGGGGATTAGTTGCCTAGCATGTGCAAGACCTACATTCAGGTAGGGAGGAGGTAGTCTATTTTACCTATTATTGGGGGAGGATGGAGGAGGTAGTATATTTACCTATTATTTATAACCAAAGATTATGTTTTCCTACATTATTTTCTGACACAAATAACAACTATTACATATGCACAGTAAAAAGAATTCAATCAATGCATTCTTTTGAATTCCAATAAATCTAGTTAATCCAATGACAGAGAACAATCTCACTCCAGTTAATCAGCTACCTCATAAGAATAAAATCACCTACTATCAACTTATATTTTATCATAACATAAATTAACTGTCCAATAGTTAAATCATATTTTAAGATTACTACTCAAATAAAAACTACATCCGGATTCACTTTTCAGAGCTGATATAAACTATAAACCTGATACCTAACAATTCCCATTTTATTATTTACTTACATTGTCTATTTTTATAACTTTATTTTCTACATTTTATAGAATATTTTTTTTGAGCTGAGATTTTAAAACATAAAATTCACTAGCATTTTTGTTAATCTAAGAATACATAACTAAAAATATCACCTTTTATTTAGAAAATTAGCTTATATTTAGTAAATGGCATTCTTACTGAGAAGTTAAAGGGAATAATATTTAGCAAAAACAATAAGGAACTGATGTCTTCATGATAGATTTTAACTCTGTATGTTCTAAAAAATGCCTATGATTTCATAATTTAGTACATGATCTAGAATGTTTGGTTTTATTTTTAGAAAAATTATTGGGTTCTTCAAAGCTTCTGACTCATTCCATAGCCTTTATTGAGAAAGAAATTTTAAAAAAAATGTAATTATATACACAGAATAAAATAAGGCATATTCATTTTGGCAATAAGAAATGAATAATTTAGTTGAAGTAACTACACAGCTGCTCAGAACAAGTATAAAAAATTGGTTTATTTTAATCTCTCTCATTAAAATTATTCCAAGAAATGATTAGTAAAGTTGCCCAGAAGAAAATAAACTTGTTTATCATTTTCCAATTCACTAATTTTGGGTTGGCCCTTAAGTAGCAAAAAAATCCCAATAACACTTAACTGGGGGAATATTTTAGACAACAGAAACACTGATAATATATTCTAAGTATAAATGCTACAGTACTATAACTCACTGATTTGAAACATGATATCTCATCTACATATTTCTGTCTTGGTGATTCTAAAATTGAAAGCCAAGTCTCCAGTCCATCTTTAATAAGGGTATAAGACTGATGTATTTTTCTGTAATTTTACCCTGGCTTTATTGTTTCCCTGCCTTTGCCAAGAGTCCTTCAACTATTCATCCCCTTCATTTTACATTTCTGTCTTCTGGCAACCTAGTTCACATCCTTTAAAACCAAGCAAATATGGAAATAAACTTCAATTCTGTATTAGGACATAAGAACAAACATAAACAAGTAGTATTTAATAACATATAGCACATCATGTGTAAATAATACTTCTTTAGGTTCTCTTTTTTAAATTTTTTTATTAGTTGCACATGACAATACAATGATCTTGACATATCATACAATTGAATCAAAGGGGGTATAATTTCTCATTTTTCTGAGTGTACAGGTTCTTTTTTAATTTTTTCTTTTTAGTTGTAGATGGACACAACACCTTTATTTATTTATTTGTTTATTTATTTTAATGTGGTGCTGAGGATCGAATTCAATGCTTTACACATGCTAGGCAAGTGCTCTACCACTTAGTCACAGCCTCAGCCCTTTTTAGGTTCCCTTAATAGATTCAGTGAATCAAAACAGCAATAAAGAAAGCATTCATGCTAACTAAACAGATTGGTCATTCCTAAGACTATCTTTACTAACATTAGAATCTCAAAAGCAAAAGTTATTGGCAGCCCAGAACTGTGAGGCAGCAAACTTCCTGAGAAGTGAGGCAATGCTAATAAATTTGTCTGCCCCCAGCCAATGGCTCAATCCCCACTACTAAGGGGGCACATTCACCTGCTTTCACTGGAATAGAAATAATGGAGTGAAAAGACTCAGGAAGCAGTTGATATTTAAAAAGCATACACACAAGATACTCCCCTAAACCCACATATTAACCTTTGGGACAGACAACAGACAATTATTTAGGCAACATATCTCAAAGTTTTTTCTTTTTTTATTGAAAGAGGGTTGTTGTTAATATATTCACAAGTGTTAACTGTAGACATTTCTCAAAATATATTTATTTATTTTTTGATTTTATAAGAAAATTTTATGATACAAATGAAAAGTAGTAATTCAAATCTTAAAAAAGGCAGAAAATAAACTAGCTATGCATTTATAAATATAAAAAATGAACCCCACTATTATGTAAAACTATAATGCACTAAAAATACAAATATATATAAAAAAGTATAAAAAGATGGAAACAATTTTACAATGACAAGGAATTGAGATCAATTTTATATAAAAACACGAAGTATTAAGAGTTAGGCTGGGGATGTAGCTAAGTGTCAAAATATATTTAGACTCCTCTTTCTAGCCTTCAGTGTGCCTACTGAATATTTTTCATAAGAGTAAACCATCATCGGTTAACAAAGTGGATAGAGTTTTTGGAAGCAATCATTTATTGAAGGGGATGGTATATATGACTAATTAGTATTGCTGGTTATAAACCATTTGTAACAAACAGACCAGAATAGCATTGTATGTAGCATAGTTTTCCCACACAGTTGACCTATTCCTCCTGCTGGGGTCAAAGGGGTTATGCGGCCTATGAAGTCCCAGCAGTGGTAAGGGTCAGCTGGAAAGCCAGTGGAGAACCTGGTGTGCACTTGGGCAGAAAAGGAATACATGAGAATATTCAAAGATTAATGTGCTATCCAGTATAATCTTATTGAGGAAAGTAATCCTTTTTTTCTTCCTATATTAAGCTTTAGTTTTCATATCCTGTAACAAATCTGGAATGTAGAGCTAGGGATACACTGAATTATGAAGCTTAAAATGTTATATATGACTGGATTATTAGGGACTGAAAGCTTACTTTGAAACATGAAAACTCAGGGAAAAAATAAAAATCTGTAAAAATTCATCAAATACATTTTTTTCTTTAAAGTAAATGAGAATAATCCAAGCAAGATATATTTCAGAAAGGGATTTTTAAAAAGCAAAACTTAATTGCTGTAAGATTTAAAAAATACATATTTTATGCTAGTAATGGAACCCACTTTAGAAATGAGAAAATATATAATGAAACACCCAATTTAAGAAAACTGAGGTTTAGCTGGTCATAGTGGCACATGCCTAATAATCCAAGATACAGAAGTAGGAGGATTCCAAGTTCGAATCCAGCCTCGACAACTTAGTGAGCACCTGACTCAAAATTTAAATAAAATAAAAAGGGCTGGGGATACAGAAGTTCAATCCCCAGTATCACAAAAATACAAAACAAAAAAATGCCAACAAACTCACCCTGAATTTTTTTTCTTTCCACAGCTATTAGAAAATAAACGAAGAGTGTACTTCTAGAAATAACTGACATCACTTCTACTACAAATTTATTTTCAGAACAGAATACTCAAAACTCAGAAGCGACAGAATTTGGATTATGTTGGCCTAAATCCCAGATGGAATAATAATTTATATTTTATTTGATGGGAATAAGTTGCTGAGAGTTAAATAGTTTTTTCTTCAAATCCATCTGTACAACATGTCTGTTTTCTTTCTTTCCTTTTTGAATTTTTCTAAAATAAAAATACATATTTTAGGAAAACACTTAATGATGTAATCAGAAGTGCTAGCACTAATTAATAAACTGTTATTTACTAAAGTGTTCACCTCTATCCACCTTTCTGGATGGACTCTGTAATTCCCAACTCACACATTTCTAGTTTCTCTGTCAAAATAACTCTCAGAAAAATAAAACTATTGTTTTTTTGGGGGGAAGAACAGAAATACATTGATATTTTGGCAATAGTTTAATCTAATATCTTCCTTTTTAAAAAGATTTTAAGTTTGTTTTAATTAGTTTTACATGAGAAAACATTTGGATTTTTTTTGGAACTGGCTTCTTTTGCTTAGCAAGATATTCTCCAACTCTATCCATTTACTGGCAAATGCCATGATTTAATTCTTCTTTATAGCTGAGTAATATTCCATTGTATATATACCACATCTTCTGTATTCATTCATCCATTGAAGGACACCGAGGTTGGTTACATAATTTAGCTATTGTGAATTGAGCTGCTATAAACATTGATGTGGCTGCATTACTATACTATGCTGATTTTAAGTCCTTTGGGTATAAATCAATGGGATAGCTGGGTCAAATGGTGGTTCCATTCCAAGTTTTCTGAGGAATCTCCATACTGCTTTCCAAAGTGGTAGCACCAATTTGTAATCCCTCCAGTAATGTATGAGTGTACCTTTTTCCCCCACATCCTTGCCAACATTGATTGTTGCCTGTATTCTTTTTTTTTTTTTTAAAGAGAGAGGTAGAGAGAGAGAATTTCAACACTTATTTTTTAGTATTTGGCGGACACAACATCTTTGTTTGTATGTGGTGCTGAGAATCGAACCCGGGCCGCACGCATGCCAGGCGAGCGCGCTACCACTTGAGCCACATCCCCAGCCCAGTTGCCTGTATTCTTGATGATTGCCATTCTGACAGGAGATAAAAATCTTAGTTTTGATTTGCATTTCTCTAATTGCTAGAGATGTTGAACAGTTTTTCATATATTTGTTGACCGACTATATTTCTTCTTCTGAAAAGTGTCTGTTCAGTTCCTTAGCCCATTTATTGATTGGGTTATTTGTTTTTTTTTTTTTGGTGTTAAGTTTTTTGAATTCTTTATTCTAGAGATTAATGCTTTATTGGAGGTGCATGTGGTAAAGATTTTCTCCCAGGCTGTAGGCTCTCTCCTCATGTTATTGTTTCCTTTGCTGAGAAGCTTTTTAATTTGAATCCATTCCATTTATTGATTCTTGATTTTACTTACACTTTAGGAGTCTTGTTAAGGAGGTCAGATCCTAGGCCAACATGGTGAAAATGTGGGCCTAATTTTTTTCTTCTATTAGGCACAGGGTCTCTGTTCTGGTGCCTAAGTCTTTGATCCACTTTGAGTTGATTTTTGTGCAGGGTGAGAGATAGAGGTTTGATTTCATTTTGCTACATATGGATTTCCAGTTTTGCCAGCACCATTTGTTGAATAGGCTGTCTTTTCTCTAATGAATGTTTTTGGCACCTTTTTCTAGTATGACTTAACTGTATTTATGTGGGTTTATCTCTATGTCCTCTATTCCATAATACTGGTTTACTAGTCTATTTTGGTGCCAATACCATGCCAGTTTTGTTACTGTAACTCTGCAGTATAGTTTAAGGTCTGGCATTGTGATGCTTCCTGCTTCACTTTTCTTGCTAAGTATTGCTTTAGCTATTCTGGATCTCTAATTTTTCCAAATAAATTTTATGATTACCTTTTCTATTTCTAAGATGAAAGTCATTGGGATTTTAATAGGAATTGCATTAAATCTCTATAATGACTTTGGTAATATGGCCATTTTGACAATATTAATTTTGCCTATCCAGGAGAATGGGAGATCTTTCTATCTTCTGAGGTTTTCTTCAATTTATTTCTTTAGTGTTTTGTAGTTTTCATTGTAGAGATCTTTCACCTCTTTTGTTAGATTGATTCTCAGGTATTTTATTTTTTTTGAGGCAATCATGAATGGGGTAGTTTTCCTAACTTCTTTTTGTGGATACATTACTGATGTACAGGAATACGTTTGATTTATGAGTATTGATTTTATATACTACTACTTTGCTGAATTCATTTATTAGTTCTAGAAGTTTTCTGGTGGAATTTTTTGGATCTTCCCAATATAGACTCATGTCATTGGCAATAGTGGTAGTTTGAGTTCTTCTTTACCTATTTGTATCCCTTTAATTTCTTTCTTTTGTCTAATTGCTCTGGCTAGGGTTTCCAGGATGATGTTGAATAGAAGTGGTGAAAGAGGACATCCTTGTCTTATTCCAGTCTTTAGAGGAAATGCTTTCAATTTTTCTCCATTTAGAATGATGCTGGCCTTGGGGTTAGTATATATGGCTTTTACAATGTTGAGGTATGTTCCTACTATTCCTAGTTTTGAACCAACCCTGCATCCCTGGTATGAACCCCACTTAATTGTGGTGCACTATCTTTTTAATATGTTTAATACCTAATATCTTCTTTATAGTCCTAAAGATCCTTTTGCGTACTGGTTCTACTCTTTCACAGGTTCTTGTTTTTATAGGCGTAGGACTTAAGATTACTCTGTAATGCTCCTCCCCACCCCCAGGTGCTTTTAAGAAGCAGAAGAAAACATTTGGAAAAACACCCATCTACTTGGGTCAAAGGAGAATTTATGGCACACCTATGAACAAGACAAAATAAAGACAGTTATACATACCTTTACTAAACAATTTGTATGTCCAGGTACAGAGCCATTTACATAGATTATATTGTGCTTTGTGTTTATTCTCCACACCTAAAAGATAAAATGAAACCAACCTTTAAGAGTTAAAATGTGAGAATATGCTTATATTAAAATAAGGAGTATGTTATAAAAGGTGAGAAGGTAACCTATGAAATTATAACATTAGCACTTCAAATGTTGAAAAAAAACTGAAAAACTTCAAATCTTATTTGATGATTTATAATATAACACCATAACAGATATGTCTTACAGAAGGTGCATGCCTATAATCTCATGAACTCAGGAGGTTGAAGCAGGAGGATCACAAGTTCAAAGCCAGCCTCAGCAATTTAGAAAGGTCCTAAGCAACTTAGTGAGACCCTGTCTCAAAATAAAAAACAAAAAGCTGGGTATGTAGTGTAGTGGTAATGTACCCTTGCTGCAGTCTGGCTGGACACAAATCAGGAGTCACTCAAGCAGGAACAAACTTTATTTCCAAACTCCCCTGGACGCCACCCACGTGGCCCTCTCAGGAACCACACACCAGCCGGAACTCCCTCCACCCTCCACCTGAACATGAACTTGAGAACTCCAAAGTAGCCAGTGACCCGAGGCGGACAGCAGGGGTCTATATACAATTGAATACACAGCTTAACTTAACCATCATCATCTCAATGGCTCCCTGGCGTCACCTCTCAACCACTCCCTTCTGGCAAAATGCCATGCGTCATCCCTACTGGGCTGTGGCCCTCAACATCTAAGCAACTTAGTGAGACCCTGTCTCAAAATAAAAAACAAAAAGCTGGGTATGTAGTGTAGTGGTAATGCACTATTGGTTAAATCTTCATTAGCAAAGCAAAGCAAAGCAAAGCAAAGCAAACCAAACCAAACCAAACCGAGAAATCTGAATGATCAAGATTACTCAAATATCTCAATGCACTCTGTTGGAACCATTAAGAACAGCCAAATAAAAATTCAATTTTTCTTTTTAGTTAATACTGGCTTGTTGCAACCAGAAACTAGGAGTTCACAATTCACTAGATCTAATTTCTAATATAAGTGGGATGATCAGCAGCCTTCAAAAAGATATTCACAATGACTATGGCATTCACTGGTAAATGGATGGGTCTGAAGACTCTTGTGGTAAGCCAGTCCCCAAAAGTCAAAAGTTGAATGTTTTCCCTGATATCTGAAAGCTAATCCAAAATAAGGGGGGAGGGATTAAAAAAAGTAAGATCAGTGGAGTAGACAGAGGGGAATAAAAGGAAAGGAGGAATAGGATAGGAAAAGACAGTGGAATGACTCTGATCTAACTTTCCTATGTACACGTATGAATATACCACAGTGAATTTCACCATCCTGTACATCCACAAAACACTAATGAAACAAAACAAAACAAAACAAAAACCCAACTGTAATTCAATAGTAGAGAGATCGGAGAGGGAAGGGAACAGGAGGCTAGAGAAAGGCAAGCGAAGTGAAAATACAAAACAAAAAACCAAAACAATCTTCACACAGAGAAAACAAATTACACAAACGGAAAAGAATGGTCAAGAAATGATACTGAGAAAATAAAATATTTTGAGAAGAAATAAAAATTTTACCCATAGCTGGTACTTAACAATAGCTCGGTATATTTTTTAAATACTATAGAAAATGAAATCACACACACACAGAGAGAGAGAGAGAGAGAGAAATTGATGGGCTTTGGTAAGTTAAAAAAGGGAAAAAAAGTCTATCTAATTTTAGGTGTCAATGTGGACTACTATGAGAACTAGAAAAGCATCACTTTTGGGTGTATCTGTGAGGACATTTCCTGAGATTAGTGTGAAAGTGCGTGGACTGAGTATGGAAGATTCCCTGCCCAATGTAGGTGAGCACTGTCCAAATGGATGCATGCCTACCCCACTCCCCTCCAAAAACAAAAAAAGTCAGAGAAAAATATTTCTTCTCTCCTGCAGCCAGGACATTGCTTTATATATTAATTAGAATTCTAGGCTCTCTGGACCTTGGACTCTAGTACTTATATCAGCAGCACCACCATCCCTTCACATCTCCCTGCCCAATTCTCAGGCTTACTGTCTCGGACTGAGAATTCCATCACTGGATTCCCTAGTTTGGAGGCTTTTGGACTAAGCCAGGATACAGGGATCCCAGGAGTTCCACCTTGCAGCTGGCCTGTTGTAGGACTTTCCAGACTCAATGATCATGTGAGCCAATTCCCCTCAAATATCCTTTTATGAATGTATCACATCATTTATCTAACTATCAGTCTATCTAACCATTCATTCATCCATCTCTCTCAGGAGAACCCTAATACAATTTAGTTATATAAAATTTGAAAACAAATTCACATATAAGATGTATGTAGAACAGAGACTGGAAGAACATGTATTGGTTAGTAATTATCTTTGGGTGCTGTTTCTGTGGGTGTTTATTTTCTTTGTACTTTCCTTGTTTTGAAATATATATGCATACATATATAAACAGTAGTTGTTTTAATATAAAAAAATGAAACAACACAGCACTCATTATAGTACAACTCATTTTCATTTAGCAATTACATACATTTTTCAAGTTAGTTGAGAACATAACTTCCCCTCTTTAAAATACACACATACACATAAGTACATAAATGTATCCTTTTGCAATCCTTTTTCAGTGTTATTTTTTTTATTATTCAATTTTGTCTCCTCTCTCCTTACTCAAAACCATCTGCCCACCCACACTTCTGACATATAACCTCAGACAATCTGGAATACAACCTCTCCACTTTTCTCTGTGACGATACAACAGCATAGCAATATGTACATGTCGGAAGCTTCTGCTCATTTCTTTATAAATAGAGAGTATTAAACTTAATGTTCTGATTCTTACCTTTTTTTCATATAATATCTTGTGAAATCTTCCAGGTCAAATAGCAGGTCACTGATTTTTTTCCTTCTTAATGACTGTATAGTCTATGGCTTGGATGTTAAATAAATAAATACTACCAGTATTACTACCATGACTACCCACAATACAACTCAACTCATGCATCTTCTACCTCTTAATTATCATAAAGCCTATTAGAACAGCAGTACATAAATACACATTAAATACATACTTTGACGCCTTTGCATTTACCTAATTTATTCTTAAAAGAACCATTTTACAAACTTACTTTCAGTCCAAATGATGTCCTATCTATGTTTCCCATTTGTCCAGGCATTTTAGTTCCAGGCCAGACTCTGGCAATATCCTAAATGAGAGAACCAAAGTTTTCAATACTTTTGACTTCAAACAGTATTGGTCAAATCGTAACATCAACTAAGACTAGGAATTTTAAGTTTTATTTTTATTTTTCCTATTCTGCTAGGTCTAATAAAGAATTGAGATTGAAATGTCCTTACTACCAGAGGATTCCCATTCCAAATTTGATTAGACTAACAAAATAAATAGGGACTTAGAAACAGAATTAGGATACAAACTCAGTAACAAGAATAGTAACTGACCTAATACTGGTTAAGAGGTAAAGGTAAAGGTAAAGGTAAAGGTAAAGGTGAAGGAAGGAAGAAATGAAAGAAGGAAGGAAGAAAGAAAGTAAGAAAGAAAGAATACACACATATCAAATCACCACCTGAAGAAAAAGTCTGCCTAGCCTGTTTTCGGGTAATCTTCTGTATTAACTGACTTAATCCACACTACTGCTGCTGGAATGGTGCTACTCCTCCTTGCTTTTGATGTCACTTTCCTTACCCAAATGCTTCAAGGTCAGAATTAGTTACTAGAATAGCTTGTCTTAGTTGTCTTTGATTCAAATAAATCAAACAACTTCACGCAGTCTCTGATAATGGCTAATAATTATACATCTAAGGAAACAAATCTGAATTACAGCTAAAATGGAAGGTTTCTCATGACATGAATTCTTAGACTAAACACTCTTCTATCAGCTACTCATAGGAACAGGTAAAACTCCCAGTAGAAGTGACTCATCATAGTTTCAGAGTTGGTTACTATGTAACCAACATAACTCCAAAGACAATTCTGAGTATAATAGACCAAGTATTCTACATATATATGCTTTGATAAGCACTGTACTTAACATTACTAAAAAAGGACCAATTCAGCCTCGTTAGTCAAATTTATACTCTCATTTAAAGTATAGCCTCATTCTTAGGATTACAAAGTCATTTATTAGCTAATCCTTAAGGAAAGTATATAAACAGTACAGTATTTCAAGATAAATATCTCATTCCAGTCATAAGAGTAGGTTCCTCTATATGCCTAATTTTTTAAAGAGCTTTGTTAAGATATAATTCACATACCACACATTTCACCCCTTTAAACTACACAATTTTATGTTTTTAGAGAGTTGTATATTACCACAATCAATTTTAGAATATTTTCATCAAGCCAAAACAAAAACCCATACTCATTTGTGGCCATTCCCAGCAATCCCCACAGCTTTTTGCAATCACTGACCTAATTTTGTCTTCATAGATTTGCCAAGGTTGGACAGTTCATATAAGTGGAATCATAAATGATGTAGTCTTTTTCAACTTGACATAATGTTTTCAAGGTTCATTCATGCTGCACTATGTATCAATGCTTCACTTCATTCCATTGCTAAATAATATTCTATTGTAGAGATAAATATCTATAAAGAGTTTTGACTTTGGGGGTATTATGAATATTAATATTCTAAATATTCATATATGAATTTAGTGTGTATGTTTTGAGAACAAATTTAGGAGTAGAATTTCTGGGTCATCACAAAGCTAGCATTCCAATGAATACTCAAAGATATGCTACAGACAGAGGAACACAAAAATGAACTCCAAAGCTCCCAAAGAGATGAAGATCACTAGAAGAACAACTATCAAAATGAATCAAAACAGAATTAAATATAGCAAACAAACCAAAATGTCAAGAAACAATACACATGAATCCATAACAACTATGAATGTAAATGGTCTCAATTTCCCCCATTGAAAGACAGAGCCTGTGCAGTGGTGCATGCCTGGAATCCTAGCGGTTCGGGAGGCAGAGAAAGGAGGATTGTGGATTCAAAGCCAGCCTCAGTCACACTAAGCAACTAATCAACTCAGTGTAAATCTGCCTCTAAATAAAATCAAAATAGGGCTGGGGATGTGGCTCAGTGGTTGAATCCCCATATCAAAAAAAAAAAAAAAAAAAAAAGACATAGATTAGCAAAATGTATTAAAAAGCAAGATCTAATTATATGGTCTTTGCAAGAGGCTCGACTTATAGGCAAAAACACCCACAAGGTAAAAGTAAAAGGATACAAAAAAAATATTCCATGCAAATGGAGTATGAAAACAATCAGGTATAACTATTCTTGTACCTGGCAAATTTTACAATAAAAAACAATTAATCAGAAGTGCTGATTATGTCTATAATCCCAGTGACTTGGAAAGCTATGGCAGGAGGATCTTAAGTTTGAGCTTAGCCTCAGCAACTTAGCAAGACCCTGTCTCAAAATAAAAACTAAAAAGGATGTGGCTTAATGGTTAAATGCCCGTTTTTTTTTTCCTCTAAATATTTTTAGTTGTAGATGGATACAATATCTTTATTTTTATTTATGTGGTGTTGAGACTCAAACCCAGTGTCCCACACATGCTAGGCAAGTGCTCTACCATGGAGCCACAACCCCCCACCCCCACCCCCCAAAAATTAATCAGAAGAGACAAAGGAATGATCCAACAAGAAGATATAATGATAGTAAATATATATGCCTGAAATGTCAGTGTACCTAATATATAAAATAAAGTACTTCTTGATGTTAAATCCCAGATAGATCCCAATACAATGATTTCAGGGTGATTTCAACACATCCTTAACATCAATAGAGAGGTCATCCAAACATAAAATCAATGGAACTATCAGACATCTACAGAACATTTTACCCTAAAACAACAGAATTTACTTTCTTCTCAGTATCTCACGGAATAGATATATGTTTTCTTCTGCTAGAAAAATCAACACTCCAGGTACTGACTTCTTTAAAAGCCCTAGAGCTCAAGAAATGAAACCAAGGATAAATAAATGAATGCCATCAAATCAAAGGAAACAAGAACATGAAGAGAGTCTACAAAATGGAAGAAAATCTTTGCCAGCTATTTCTCTGACAGTGGATTAACATTTAACATATAAAGAACTCAAAAAAACTTAACACCCAAAACCCAAAAAACCCAGTCAATAAATGGGCAAAAGAACAGATCTTTTTTTTTTTTTTTTAAAGAAACACAAATGGCCAAGAAATATATATATAAAGTTTGATATCTCTAGCAGTCCAGTAAATGCAAATCAACACTACTCTAAGATTTCATCTCATTCCAGTCAATGATGGAATATAAATAATAATAAATCCTGGTAAGAATGTTGGGGAAAAGGTAGATTCATACATTGCTGGTGGGATTGCAAATTAGTTCAATTACTTTGGAAAACAATGTAGAGATAGATCTCTCAAAAACCAAGAAATGGAATACCATATGACTCAGCTATCCCACTCCTCGGTTTTTATCCAAAAGAACTAAAATCAGAATACTATAAGATACAGCAGAACTCTTCACAATAACCAAATTATGGAATCAGCCCAGATCCCCATCATAGGTGAATGGATTAAGAAAATGTGGTATATATGCATAATGGAGTCTTTACTCAGCCATAAAGAACAACAAAATTATGGTATTTGCCATGGATGGAACAAGAACATCATGCTAAATGAAATAAGTCAGACTCACAAAATCAAGGCTCAAATGTTTTCTCTCTTAAGTGGGAGCCAGCCAAAATAAGGGAAAAAGGGGAGGGGATTGGATATCATAAAGGGATTTTCAGTGGAGTAGCAGAAGGATATCTATAGGAAGGGAAGAGGGACGGGAAAGGGGAGGAAATAGGGAATGAAATGAACAAAATTATGTTATATGCATAAATAAATATACCACAATGAATTCAACCTTTATGTATATATAGAAAGGATCAATCACAAATAAATAAATGAGCCAGGCATGGTGGTGCACACCCATAATACCAGTGACTAGGGAGGCTAAACCAGAAGGATTCCAAGTTCAAGGCCAGCCTCAGCAATTCAGTGAGGCAGTAAGTAATTTAGTGAAATCTTGTCTCACAATTAAAAAACAAAAAAACAAAAAAGGACTGGGAATGTGGCCAAGTGGTTAAATACCCCTGGGTTCACTTGCTGTTACCAATAAATAAACAAACACAAGCAAATGAGTGAAAGGAAAATGAGTAGAGGAAGGGGGAAAGAAAGGGGCAGGGAAAAGGGTGGGGAATCAGGACCAAAACGGAGTAAATTAAACTCCATGCATGTATGATTTTGTCAAAATGAACCCAACCACTGTGAACAACTAATGCTTTAATTAAAAAAAAAAAAAAAATTACTAGGTCATACAATAACTCTATGTTTAACGTTTAGTGGTGTTATCATCTTATATTCCTGCATTCAACATATGAGGGTTGCAATTTCTCTACATCCCATGCTAACATTTGTTATTATAGGTCTTTTAAGTTATAGCCATCCTAGGACATAAAAGTTGTTATCTCATTGTGGTTTTGATTTACATTTTCCTAATGATTACAGATACTGAGCATCTTTTTACATGCTTATTGGCCAATTATGTATCTTCTTTGACAAAATGTCTATTCAGGTCCTTTGCCCATCTTTTAATTGGGAAACCTCTGGACTACTGGTTGTAAGAGTTCCTTATATATTTGGATATAAGTCTTATCAGATACATGATTTACAAATATTTTCTTCCATTCTGTGAGTTGTCTTTTCATATCTTGATGCATTTGTAGCACGTTTTAAATTTTGGTGATGAAACGTAATATATTTTCTTCTGCTCCTTGTTATTATGGTGTTGTATCTAAGGCTTTTGCCTCTTAGGGCATGAATATTTACTCCTGTTTTTTCAAAAATGTTTTATAGTTTTAGCTCTTAAATTTGTCTTTGATCTACCTAATTTTTATAATGTATAATTTCATGATTTAAATTTAAAAAGAGCAGCAACATAAATTCTTATACTCTTTAAGAATTCTTTTTTTTTTTTAATTTTTATTGTGGGTTGTTCAAAACATTACAAATTTCTTGACATATCATATTCCACACTTTGATTCAAGTGGGTTATGAACTCCCACCTTCACCCCATACACAGATTGCAGAATGAATTCTTATACTCTTTACCCTAACTAACTTACCTTTTGTTTATGCTGTCCCACTTGCTTTACACTATCTACTCTCTCTACATCTTTCCCTAGGTCATTTGAAATTAGGTGGCAAACATTATGCTTGTTTATTTATAAGTATTTCCTGAGAACAAGGATATTCTCTTATGTAACCACAGTACAATTATAAAACTCAGAAAATTAAACACTATTATCATATCTATTATAATTTTGCCATCTGTTCCAATAATATTCTTTCTCTCTCTCTTTGTCTTTCAGGTCTCTGAGACAGTGTTTCACTATGTTGCCTAGATTTGGCTTTGAACTCATTAATTCTTGTGGCCTCAGCCTCCTGAGAGCTGGAATTATAGGCATGTTCTGCTGTGCCTGGCTCAATAATACTGTTTATAAGCTATTGTTTTCCGAGTTCAAGATCCACTTTGCAGTTTACAAATTGCACTTAGTTGTCCTGTCTCTAGCCTCCTTAAATCTGGAACAGCTCCTCAGCCTTTCCTTGTCTTTCATGACCTTGAACATTGTTGAAGGCTACAAACCAATTATATTTTGTAGAGTATTGCTCACTTTGGGTTTGTCTGATGTTTTCCAATGATCAGATTCAAGCAGATGCATTTTGGTAGGAATCAACACAGAAATAATGGTGTGTTCATTTCTGGGAACCTTATCAGGAGGTACATTATGCTGGTTTATCTAACTACTGGTGATGTATAACTGATTACCTAGATAAAAATGTGTTATGTAGGTTAATCCCTTCCAAGGCTATTAGTTTTCAGACTATGTATATATCTAGTACCCATCAATTTGTTTACCATTTGTTTTAGCATCTATAAATGTTGGGCTGAATCATTTATTTCTATAATGACTGCCAAACAGTGACACTCTAAATCTATCATTCCTTCTATGTTAGATGGCATTATACTGTAAGGAAGAGCATTTCACCTTTATCCTATCATTTATTCACCTATTCATTCAGTTGGTTATTATCAGTGTGGACTCATGAACTCTAATTTTATTTGATGAATTCTTTTACTATAATTTTAAAATTTTAAGCCCAATCTGTTTCAGCCTGTTTAGGCTGGCTTCTATGTTCTTTCTGTGTGTCTGTCATTGTTTAAGCACTTCCTTGTTTTCTTGGATAAGATGTGTTGAGTTTGTCTTGTGTCTTCCAGTCCCATGCATTATTAAATAAGCCGATTATTCAAGGGATTCTTTTCAGTGGGGAATAGTCTTTAGAAATCAAGATCTGAGCCCTAGGTATGCTCATTGCAATGGAATATTTTTGCTTTCAGGTCTTTCTAGCAGTCAGAGCTAAGATATAAATAACATACTCACACTTACATCTATTTCTTTTTATTTACACACAGAGTGAATAAATTACATAAAGATACCTATAATTAAAATTCAACACTACAGGGTTCATTCTAATTTCCCCCATTTCATGGCTTAATGACCTCCCTTAATATACTGTAAAAAACTTGGCTCCCGTATATCAATATATTTAATTAACTTCTCAATCATCCAATTCACAGAAAATTACTTCAGAACTGCTGATACCATAGCAAAAACCAAGCCTAACTAGAATTTAATATTTGTACAGAGTACAATTTAAAATTTAGACTACAGGTTTATACTAAACTACTGTTTAAAAGTTACTTGAGTTACTAGGGTTTTTTCCCCTCCCTCTTCAGTGTAGTTATTATTCATCTGAAACACTTAAGTTCATTTTCTAATTATATTCCATTTTCTATTTCCCCTCTTATCATAGTTTTTATTTTGAAAATGTAAAACAACAATATGTTTTCAGAAGTAACGAAAAGTCTATCCAATAAAGTGTCATTCCTGCACTCTTAGGCCCTTCCACACTATTTCTATCCATCCCTTGTAGGTAAGCAATACCTTAGTTTCTGGTTTATCTTCCTGGCCCTTCTTTTTGCAAAAATATAAACCCTAGAAGTAGGATTGCTTTGACAAGCATAAATGCCTGTGTTGTTTTATTAAATACTGTCATATTTTCCTTCCTAAGGGCTGTACTATTTTGTATTCCCATCAGGGAGGTATAGAGTGTCTGTTTTCTTACATTTTTGCTAACATATTTTAACACCCTTCATTAGACAATATGACAAAAATTAAGCAGCTTGATAATACAATCTGCTAGTGAGAACATAGTATCTCAGAGGAGCTTTAATCTGTATTCCTCTTATTTTGAAAGAAATAGAATACATTACCAACATTTAGTGGCTGACCTTGCATTACCCTACGGCTCCAAAGAACAAAATCTCTTTAGGCACTTTGTTATATCACTTGGAGAATAAGATTAAATTAGCAACATAAAGGGTCTTTTCTCCATATCATATCTCTTATTACGTATTTCTCTGTGTATTCTTTTCTCTTTACCATGGTATTTTCCTTGACAATCTTTCCCAACTGTTTTCTTTAAGGCAAAATGAATGTGTGGAGGAAGCAGTGAGGCCAGCTAGAAAGATATCTTATTTTTGTAGCTGGCTTCAATGTTTCATACAGAACACAGAGAAGGGAATGGGAAAGTAGGGAGGAAGGTACTAGGAATATGTAGAATAAAACTATAGCTCTGAAAAATGACTGAGTCTACGATCCACAAAAAGGTGACCCACAAAAAGATAACTCCACCTGGAGTCAGATTAAAATTATGTAACTTGATCTAAAGCAAAGACTGAGCACGACAGGTACAAAAGGCAACAGCATTAAAAAGAGCATCACTCTATACTTACACCAGTTGAAATAGCTCCAGGTCGCCTATGGGTTTTCGTTTGACCATGAGTGGCAGGCTGGCCTTTAAATCCCCATCTTTTCATGACACCTTGAAAACCTTTACCAATACTGAACAAAACAAACGTTAGAATTTACATAAGAATAGAGAGTAAAAATTCCCAATTGTATACTTTCTTGATAGTACCTTAGAGTTTGAACAAAGCTTCTTATCTAAATAACTAGAAAAGGCTATTCAAGCAAAACTGCAAATGAACATTCTCTGTCAGAGTTTTACCTCCTCCTAGAGTCTAATTCTATACAAAATGATTAATTCAAGATTATGAGACAGCAAGATAAGCACATCAACTTTTATCTGAACAAAAAGTTTTACTACCATAATCTTGTGAAGATGGTACAGTAAAAGTGATAAAGTTCTAGAAGTTTCAAAGTACTATATTACACACATGGTAAGCAGCCATTAAGATGAACCCTAAAGATTGCCCATCTCCTGGTACTCATGCCCTCACTTAATTCTCTTCAAATGAGTCTGGGTGGGTCTAGGGACTCATTTCTAATGAACAAAATATGGCTACAGCAATGAGAAGTCACTTTTGAGATTTGGTTACAAAGAGACTATTGCTTTCATCTTGGTATTCTCTTGCTTGCTAAGATGAAGGAACCCAACTGCCATCATGAGACATGGGACTAGCATATAACTGAGGATCAGTCAATAACTGAGGATCCCAAGACTTGCCAACTACCATGTTAGTAAACTTGGAGGCAGATACTCCCTGAGTCAAACCCTGGGATGACGGCTGCCCTGGCTAACTCCTTGATTGCAGCTTTGTGAAAGACCATGAACCAGACACCAAGGTAAGCTGTACCAGGCTTTCTGACCACAGAAACTATGAGGTAATATTTATTATTTTAAGCTATTATGTTTTATAAAGGTTACATATTAGATAGCAATATATAATTATTATAATAAAGCACTAAATAAAAAAATTAAAATGCTCTAAATGCTAAGGTTCTTGCTCTCAAGGTTAAACGGGAAACCAATGGGGAAATTCAGAGAACAAAATTAAAAAAAAAAAAAATTTATAGTTGTAGATGGACATCATGCTTTTATTTATTTAGGATCGAACCCAGTGCCTCACATGTGCTAAGCAAGCACTCTGCCACTGAGCTATAGCCCCAGCACCCAAAATTTCTTTTTAAAATAAAAACTCATTTTTAAATGAAATTATTTTATTTTCAAATTCTGTTGGCTAGAGAAACAGTATAAGATGCAGGTAGAGAGCAGGCAATACTTAGATTCAAGAATTATTAAAGTGTGTCTTTGAATGTCAAATGCATCAATACAAATGATACAATGCAAAAGCCAGGAGGAATTATAAGATTGTACCAGAAATGTTTTTACATACTCCTAAGATGAAGGTTTTTTTCCCCACCTTTCATTAGATAATATGTCAATATATTTTTAATGCAGCGTTCTTTAATCTCAACGAAGTTAGCTATGATTACAGGCCTATTACAAAAAGAACCAAAAGAAAAAGATGATGAAAACCATGCCATGCTATACATTTGTTAACACAGACTTATCAGAGAGGATGGACTGAAGAAAGCCCATATGAATAAAACAGTCTGCTTTAGATATATCAAGAATTCAACATAAAAACAATTATAAATTATGTATAGAACCCAACAGATAGACATTATCAAATAACATATCAAAAGTTGGTTGTTTATAAATGTAGCTTAAACCACTTTCTTTACATCAATCAACTGAACACACTCTGAAGGTATGCACATACTCTTTTTTTACCTCAAAAAAATCAAAATAATGCTTATTCCTGATTTAAAGACCTAAAAATAGAAATTTAACAGATATTCAATAAAAAACTATATAATTTTATAGAGACTAACATGTAAGAAGATAATTTCTGGTAATTAAATACTTTACTGAAATTATGCTTCAGAAATTTAACAAATATTTCTGTTTAATAATGAATTTTAGATCACACATGAAAAGTAAAGTACTTGCAATTAAAAACAAAAACAACAACAAAAACTAAGAGTCAATGGATCCATGCTATCATTTGGCAAATAACACTTAAAAGAAAAAAATGGAGAGAGGGACCAGTAATACCACTCTAAAATGAATATTTTTTAAAAATGTCACATTTGAACCCTGGTCATTTTTGTTAGAAAGTTTTCTAGTTCTGAGTTCTCAAACTGGTTATCTCTTAAAAAGATAATGTGAATGAAATAAAATATATGCCAGGTAAATTACAGAAGAAACTGAGCTCATTTTAAGAGTAAATGATTACAAAATAAAAGTGGTATCCTTAAAGTACTAATTATCTGTCTGCAAATTACAGATTGTTTTTCAATCTAGTTCTAGAATACATCATGTAGTTATACTGTGTATAATGGGAACCTCTTCAGTAGATAACCTTTAAACAAAAGGATAAAACACAAATGACATGACAAATTACTGGTTTAATTCAGTTTAGAGAGAATAGAATGCACCTGTTGCTCCATGGGTGGTACAGGTATCTATATTTTTACTTCTCTCAATTATCACCCAACAACAAAAATAAAATAGAAGCAAGAAACGAACTAAGCTATACTTAGTACTCCCAGGCACATTTCAAGTATAACATTTTCATTTCATATAGAATAAACTCTTCATTTTACTGAAAATTACACATAACACATACTTTATCTTCCTTACTCTTTACCAATTATGATTTTAAATTAATGGCTGCAGAAATAAACTAAATGAATGAAAACTCAGATTTTATTTTTTTTTTTTTTTGAAAACTCAGATTTAAATGAACACAATGTTAGAAATCCCAACTTTGGTGAGACTTAACTGAGGATGGGCAAAATATTTAAAGTGTATTTTAAATCAATTATACTTGTTAAACCAAAAATTAATTTTAAAAAATCAGAAGTATTTAATTTAGGAGATTTTATTGCCCTTGCTTCTCAGCTCATTTCTCCTTACTACACTTTAAATACATAGAGGGCAAAGATTGGGCATTATTTATTCCTATTTCCAGCCTAGAGAAGTTACCATAAAATTTGTCACTGGCTAGTTCTCTCATGGAAAGAAAGAAGATTAGTTTCCTTTCTTTTGTTCTATAGTATCTATCCAAATGTTGTATAAAGGGCATGCCTTTTGGTTTAAAAACATGGAATGAAGTAAAAGGGAGAAATGCCTTAAGTTTATGACTGTAAGAATCTTCCAGAAGGGAATGCATAATTTAATGTTTCCCAATGCAGACTATAAATCTCTAGAAATCATACTAAGAAAATTTCATTCCCTTGCCACATTGTGACAAATGCCCACATGCCAACAGCAAACACACAGGTTTTAACACAAACCCAACATGTTGCTTTATTTTGAGGGACAATACCTTTCATTGCATCATGATTTGAGGCCAGCCTGGGCAACTCAGTGAGACCCTATCTCAAAAAAAAAAAAAAAAAGTGTTGGGGAGTTTTGCTCAGGGAAGAGCAAGCCTGGGTTCAATCCCCAGTACTGGAAGGAAAAAAAAAGTCCAGAGAGGTTGTTCAGTGGTAATGTCCTAGGCTCCATCCCAATTATAATACAGCATGAAAAACAACAACAACAACAAAAAACAAGTAAACTCAACTATGATCCAATTGAGCCCAACTTATCTTTTCAACACTGCCTACCACAAATCCTAGTCATAGTAGACTATTCCATGAATCTCTAAATATGCCATTCTTTCATGCCTTTGTTTTATTCAATTACCTCTGGCCTCACATACATTTCCTACTATGTTGTCTATTATTGCCATGTAAAAACCACAGAAAGTTTAACATCACTTGCAAAAATACTTGCTCTTCATTTAAAAAAATAAAAATCCAAAATGCAAGTATATTATTTTTCAATCAGAACCATTTCCAAATGGTTGATTCATGCTCTAAGAAGTTTAAATGACTTGTACATAATCTCTGAGTATTAAATGGAGAGGATTCTTACTTTCTCTTAAGGATGCCCCTAAATCAGGTTATATTTTTATATTTAACCAATAAAAGCAGAAGTGGGGGTGGGAAAGTGAAGAAACCACTAGTTAACAATTAGCTTCTCTATGTTATGTCTAAAGATGGGGAAATGGAAGCTCACTCAGTTCACAGACAAAATCAATACTGGGCTTTTTATTTATGATGAACCACCAATAATAGATTAATGATGACATCTTTAACTATGAAAAAGTACTGCTGAATATAAAAGCAAAATGTCTAAACCAGTATCAAGAGAATTTCTTATAGAATGTGACTTAATTACTTTATTATGTTTTAAATTCAAACTGTTCAAATGCTTTTGGTTTCAAAATAACAAAAGCCAATAAACAAAACAGGACAGTTTTTGCCAAAATAAATTACATGTACGTAAAAGTCTTATTAGCTAATTCCCTTATCTTTCTCAGGATTAGCTTCTAGCTCATGAACATTTTATCTTTTGTTTTTTCTTTTTCTGGGGGCGAGGTTGGGGAGGAGTACTGGGGATTGAACCTAGGAGCACTTTAGCAGTGAACTACATCCCCAATTTTCTTTTTAAAATTTTTTTGCCCTTTTTCTTTGAGAGAGAGAGAGAGAGAGAGAGAGAGAGAGAGAGAGAGAATTTTAATATTTATTTTTTAGTTTTCGGCAGACACAACATTTTTGTTTGTATGTGGTGCTGAGGATCAAACCCGGGCCGCACGCATGCCAGGCGAGCGTGCTACCATTTGAGCCACATCCCCAGCCCCTTTTTTTGCCTTTTTATGTTGTTAATTTCTATTTTTACTTTTATTATTTCTGTTATTATTATTATTATTATTATTATTATTATTATTTTACTTATAGAGACAGGGTCCTGTTAAGTTGCTTATGTCCTTGTTAAATTGCTAAGGATGGCCTTGAACTTGTGATCCTCCCCTCTTAGCCTATGGAGTTATTGGGATTACAGACATGTACCACCTTGCCCAGCAGCATTTTATCTTTGACAGTAGTAACTTCTCATTTAATAACATATTCATATGTTACCTACTTAATTTCATCCATGCCTTTCAAAGATATTGTTGTCTCTACCAAAAATTCCTGTAAAGTCC